CCATCGGCTCCGTCACCGGCAGGAAGATCGAGCTTCCCGACGAGATCACCAGCGCTCTCTCCGCCTTCAAGACCGTTAGCAAGTGGACCCAGGTCGCCTACATCATCTCCTTCATTGCTCTCGGCCTCGAGATCGTCTTCGGCATCTTCGCCAATTGCACCCGCGCCATGTCCTGCATCACCTTCCTGATCGCCTCTCTCGCTTCCGTCGCCGTCTGCGCCTCTGCTGCTCTCTCTACCGCCACCGCCGTCGTCGTCGTCGGTGCTGTCGAGGCTTCCGCTAAGTGGTACGGTGTCTCCTCCTCCTTCAACAACAGCTTCCTCGCTCTCATCTGGATCTCCGCCGCCCTCGCTCTCGGTGCCGGCTTCTTCTGGATGTTCACCATCTGCTGCTGCGCTCCCAACCACACCCGCAAGGAGCGCAAGCGCCAGAGCGACGGCGAGAAGCTCCTGCCTACTGGCAACACCAATGCTTACCAGCCCATCCACGAGGAGAACGGCTACTACAAGCAGCAGCAGGCCACCCAGTACGGTGCTCCCCGCTACGCCAGCGGTGCCCGTGGTGACATGGCCTACGAGCCCTACTCCCACCGTTCTTAAGCGATCTTTTGGTCTAATGGGCGGTAATGTCTGTACGAAGAAGCTGTGCGATCTGGCACTCATTTGATTTTGCATCGTTGGCGTTGGGTAACGGACTTTTATTATCACGAGCACGAACGACATGCGCGGTGGAAGTGGTTTACGAATGGTCTAGCTTGACGGGAACTATGGGGGAGGGCGAGGATTCCTGGGGATGGATGATACCCAACCAGGCTTATTGTCTATAGAATTCATCATGCTTATACAGCGCAAAAACAAACACATTAGATTTTTCATACATCGTTTCTCAGAACCAATTGTGAGCCATTTATCTGCTGGTTGGATCGTTTCATGTGGCAGAGTTCGTCTGTCAGTGAATCGTGACAGCAACGTGCATTCCTCGGGCAACTCACACTGTCGATGGATGCTTCAAAATTTCTCCCACACAAATCGCGAACCAAAAAAAAAATCTCCACACCCAGAGCGTGAGAGGGGTGGTTGATGACTCGATCCACCAACCTTGCTGACCGCACCTGAGGAGTTGAAGGATTTCCTGCCGCCTATGCGACAGCTCAGCCGCACAAGCTAGCATCATGATCCTGGGACAGTAGGCAGCAACAACAAAACTCATTCGCTACTTTTGTTTTTCTCATCTCTGCAGTAGCTGCGACGGGGAAACGAAACGCTCGTTCCTGCGAGAAGGACTACATCAACCCCTCCAGGGTCTGGTGAGATTTTAAGACCGAAACCAAAGGACTTCCCAATGAATCACTATGCAGTTAGTCATCATTTTTTGATATCCGTCTGCTTTCTCAGTTTTCAAAAATAGCCGCGCAAGAGGAGAGAGATGATGGTTTTGGAAATAAGACCCAAGTAGACTAACCGCCTCAAGCAGCAGAAACCAGAGGTAGCCCGGCCCTCACTACGGCGGGACCATCAGCTTACCCCCGTCACCGGCCTCTGCTTCCTAAACCTGGGTGCCACATCGAGTAGTGATGATGGCGAGCAGCAGCAGTATCTCCTGGCCGGAGAGGACACGGACCTCAAGGTCTACGATGGGGAAGGCATCCTGCAGTGCCAGCTGAGGATCTTCCGCGCCCAGCCCATCCACGGCATCAGCGTCGGGGGCGGCAGTGTGCTGCTCTGGGGCAACCAGGCCGTGGCTGTCCTGCCCGTCAGCGTGATCGAGGCGTGCCTGTCAGGCAAGGCTGACGACCACAGCGCGCCCAAAGTCGTGGAAGCCAAGGCGCCGGACTGGATCTACGACGGCGCCATCTGTCCCGAGGACCCCTCCCGCGGCGTGCTCGTGACGGCGCACAACGAGGCTCTTGAGTTCTCCATCGCAGACGATGGACGGCACGTCGTCTTCGGGAGGATCGTCTCCCCGTCCCGGCCGATCCTGTACTCGGCCAACTCGACGTGGGTGTCTGGCTCCTGCGTGCTCATCGCCGGCGGCACCGTCTTTGGCGAGATCCTGCTCTGGAAGTGCCACTTTGACGATGGCAAGCAGCAGCCGTGGTGCGAGGTCCTCTTCGTCTTCACGGGCCACGAGGGGTCCATCTTTGGAGTGGATATCTCGCCCGAGATCGCGATGGGCGAGGACGGCAAAACGGCACGGCTGCTGGCGAGCTGCAGCGATGACAGGACGATTCGGATCTGGGACATTTCGGAGCGCGAGGGGGCGCCGCGGCTGCAGTACGACTCCTTTGGCGAGGCGCGGGAGACCGGGTTTGGCGGAGGCGACGACGGTAATGACGGCGGCGCGGCACCCGCGGATCTGTCGGCCACGCGCGTTGCGTCGAGCAGGCCGCTCGCGATGGTGATGGGACACATCTCGCGCATCTGGCACGTCAGGTTCCCGCGCACGTTCGGGCCCGCAGGGGGCACGGTGTATTCTTTCGGCGAGGACTCGACGCTGCAGAGGTGGAGGTTGGACGTTGACGAGGTGCAGTGGCGGCAGGGCCTAAGCGGCGGCGGCGGCAGCGGTGACGTAGCCGCGAGCCTGACGCATCTGGAGACGTATGCGAAGCATGATGGGAAGCACATCTGGGCGACCGCGCTGGCGGAGAGGAGTGATGGGGAGGTGGTCGTTGCGACGGGCGGGCAGGACAGCAAGATCAACCTGTTGACTGACCGGTCCACGGCCAGGGTCGGCGAGCTGCCTCATGAGCTGAGGACGCTGGTTCTGAAGGATGTGGTTGCGAAGTCGCCGCCCAGGGGTCAGGAGTTTGCGATTCCGGCGGAGACGAGGGAGGCGTTTCACCGGTTTGCCTTCATCGGCAAGGACACGCTGCTTGCGACCAGCACGACTGGGAGGTTGCTGGTCGGCTCGTTTGGGAAAGAGCTGACCTGGGAGGAGATTGGAACCGACGGGACAACGTTGAGCGCTTTGAGGGCTTGCACGAGTCTCAAAAGCCCAATGGAGGGACTGGCGTTGTTGGGTACTGCGAACAAGAAGATTTTCTTGTTCAGGGGGGAAGAGATTCGCGAGATCGGGACGGTGCCTGGCAAGGTTGCCGACATCTTCTGTCTGGGTTCTTCCGAGAGCGGGAAGCTCGAGTTCCTGGTCACGATACTCGGCGGCGAGGAAGCAATGCAGATCCTCACGCTCGACCTGGAGACCTCCGCCATCACGTCTATGATCCCGGTCGACCTCGACAACCGCTTCGTCTTCACAGCAGCCTGTCTCGTCAACGATCTCCTTGTGCTTGGCTCGCGGCACGGACACATGGACGTGTTCCGTCGCTCGGGGGCCCAGCTCAGCCCCTTCCCCGCCCCGGATCGTCGGACGGCGGACAGCATCACCTCCATCAAGCCTCTGGCGACCTCGCCCGAGAAGCACATCATCACGACGAGCAGAGACGGGAACTACCGTATCTACGAAATCGGCCCGTCGTCGCTCATCCTCCGCCACGAGACGGCGCCCACGGCAGTCCCGAACCTCGAAGACTCCTGGATGTCCGGGACGGACCTGATTCTCTGTGGTTTCCGCAGCAAGAACTTCGTGGTGTGGAACGAGACGCGGCACGAGGAGGTCCTGAGGCTCGACTGCGGAGGCGCCCATCGCGCTTTTGCGTATGATAGGCAGGACAGGGTCAGGTTTGTCTTCAACAAGGCTGCTACGCTCGGTGTGTATGAGCAGCCCGAGACGCAGAAGGCGGTGGCCTGGCACAGGACGTTGAAGAAGGGAACGCACGGTAGAGAAGTTAGGGCCATCGCGTTCTCTGGGCGGTATGTCGCCACCGGCGCCGAGGATACCGCGATCCGTATCTGGGAGTACAAGGACTCGGAGAAGCCGCTTCAGAGGAAGATGCGTTGTATAAAGGTCGTCAAGGTCCACACTGCCGGGCTTCAATCTCTCAAGTGGCTCGGTGAGGAGCTCCTCTTCAGCTGTTCCGGTAACGAGGAGTTCATGGTCTGGCGGGCCACGGATCTTGGTGCCGCTGGGCTGGGGCTCATGCGCGAGGCCGTCTTCGAAGACAGAAGCGCAGACGGGGACTTGCGGATCACGAGCTTTGATGTTGCGCGGGTGGAGGGGATGGTGGTAATCACCATGGCATTCTCCAACTCGGTCGTCAAGACGTATCGCTATTCAGCGGACGAGGGATTCGAGCTCCTGGCGACAGGCCGATACACGGGCGCGTGTCTCACTCAGGTGCGGCATTTGAAGGTCCAGGACGGCACGTGGGAGGTTGTCACTGCCGCCACGGATGGCTGTGTTGGTATTTGGAAGAGCGAGGGGGGAGAGTTTGTGTTGAGACATACTGCCAGGGTACACCAGAGCAGTATCAAAGCTCTCGATGTCCACAGCACTACAGACAGGGTTATTCTCTTGACTGGAGGCGATGACAACGCCCTCGGCATCACGACCCTTGACGCGAAGGACGGGTTCAAGCCGGTTGGCAGGGCGGGTGTGAGAAAGGGGCATGCAGCTGCCATCAACGGGCTCACGGTGCTGAGGGTCCCGGAGCGTGGGGAGATTGTGTACGCGACTGTGAGCAATGACCAGAGAGTCAAGATGTGGCAGGTCGGCTGGCGACAAGGCGTTGAAGAGGTCACTTTGTTGGCAGACCAGTATAGTGGCGTTGCTGACGCTGGTGATTTGGAGGTTATTGAGGGTGGCAAGGTCGTGGTTGGCGGTGTTGGATTGGAGATTTGGGATTTTGGTGCAACGGTTTGATGAGCATAAGATATCCGTGGATAGACAAAGGAAACGATTAGAGATAGAGGTGTAAATGACCAGACGCAATATCCAATTTGTCTATAATGTCTATTTGAGTCATGTCTATTATGTTTACCATCAAGCCAGCAATAACGACGACAACCATGGCATATTCCATGTGTAGTAGTCAGATCCATTCTGCGGTACACCACACTGCTATTTGCTTGTAGTTCGATCTCTAAGCCCATGGCCCGTCCGGACTACACAGTCTCGAGGCTGACGTGCTCTCGGAGCTTGTAGTAGTTCCTACAAGCCTGGTCTTCACACCATGTGACCTCCTTAAACTCGTTGTCCTCGGTGAGGTTGTGAGACGTCGGGTCCAGGACAAGGTACCACCCAGGGCTCGAAGGCGCCAACGGTCGTCCTTGATCATCCATCGCCTCAAATGAACGAAAAAGTGCTAGTTCGTAACACTTTTTGTGCTTGCCACAGCGGCGAAATTCGGACTGCAAACAGGACAGATCATTCTTTGCCCACTTGTGATTGTCATGGCCATCTATATTTCAGTGAGCATTAGACATCGGCAAGACAGGCCTAGCCTGATGAAGGAACATCAACTTACCAGGGCTACGAGGGCAGTCTCTCAGCCAATTCGGGGCTTTCGGTGCTTTTGGGTGAAGCAAAGGTTCGAATCTCTCTCTGCCTTCGTAATGCAGGCAGAGACAAACATCAGGGTCGAAGCAACCCATAAGGTCCAGGTGTTCTGGCCCTTGATACCACGGACATGGGTCGCGCGCTTGTTCTTCCGCCAGTCTTTGTCGCAGCTTGTCAGCGTTCAAACGAAAGGCCCGCGGGGTACGGGGAAACGACATATGCATCGTCTTATCCAAAATTACCGACTGGTCTGATAAGAAAGCACTATACTTAACCGGTGGTAGGCCAGGCTGGTGAGAGGCATGCTCGCAGAGTCCCAAATCGACGCCAGTTCGGAGAAGTTTTGGTGCCTCTGAAGATACCCTGGCGAAGTCATCCCAGTTGAGTGTCTTGTGCTCACACAAGCGGATGTATCCCTCACGACCGATGCATATTCGTTCGAGTGGTGCCTTGTTGCGCTCGGCCGCCGAAAACAGGCTGGCTGTGTGCTTTTGCTTGCATCCAGAGCAATACAATTGACATCTTGCTTTGGAGAACTTCCAACCAGATAGGTTGCGATTCGCATAGCAGGGCGCGCAGAACGCACTCGGTGCTCCAGACTTTAACGCGTCCACCGAACCTGGCGCTTGCACTGGCGATGGCCATAGGAACTCGTACTCGCTGCCCTTATACCACCACTTTTCGAATTCGCGAGACGAGAATAGGCACAGGAACTCGCGAGATGCTCGCCGGAGCTGACATATTGCCGCCAAGTCGAGTCGTTGTATTATGTTGAGGAGTATAGGGTCGGGCAGTCCGCATAGAGGGCTCCGCGCGGCGTTTTGCCAGACCGCAGCCATCCACGGGTCAATCCTTGTGTTCTTTGGCCACCCCAAAGCATTCAGATTATTTCTGGACTCGGTATGACCATTTGTTCCTGGAGTGCTCGTCACTGTAGCTTTGTCGTCGGTGTCACAAGGCCTGTCCGCATGGCCCACTTGAACAACGTCGCTTTCGTCACTGTTCATCGATCCGTCATCCTGGCTGATATCAATTTCTGTGCTTAACAGAGTGAACTTTTCTAACCTACTGATTCTTCGTCACTTTCTTTATTGTCAGTGGTGGTCCAGTCGCTACTACTTTCTTCACTTTCTTCATCTTCGGTAGTGGTCCAGTCGCTGCGTGCATCATCGAGTTCACCAGTATCGTCTTCTTGGAGACTGATCGAATCTTTGGGGTTCGAGATCCTCTGTAAGAAGCCTATCAGGCAGTGTGCCATTTTCTGATTACCACGTCGGAGTGTACCATGTTGGTTGCGACAATTCTCGAGTCCACGTGGACAAGAAAAGTCTGATACATAGATAGCCGTTCAGGTTGAAGCCACACAGAAGCTAGGTCGTGGTTGTTCTCCATTGAGGCGTGTGGTCAAAAGGGTCCCTAGACTTTCCGGGGCCTACCCTGAGGATAGAAAGTCGAAGTAGGACTCAAGATATCGACAACGAAAATCGAAAACCAACAACCCCCACTTCATGTGCCGACTTGCTTTAAACGGCATCCGTGGACAGACACAACAAAACAGAGACAGGAACCTGTACTATATGCCGTAGATCTCAACTTACCCGTGAGGTTCGCGAGTAAGCCCGTCCACGTGCTCTGGTTATCCTTACCATCGTCTGTTTCTTCATCATCACTACTTCATCCACAACCCGTACTACCGATCTGCAAATCTTTCTTCAGAAAACCAACTGACCACGAGATGCCCATGCTCAGCGACTTGAAATTACACAAGTCGTCGATGTAACCACTAGAGCATGTGGAGAGCTGCAAACCCCTGCTCTATTCGCCAGCCTTAAAACCGAATCTGCCACTCAGGGTGTGAGCGAATCTGACATGCATACAACCAAGCCTCTTCCTGCTCCGCCAGAATGAGCCGGTCTACCCCGTTCGTACACTCGAAACAGGAATAGATTGGCCCGTCTTCGTCTCCTGTAGGTGCGGGACCCTCGCTTTTGCATCGCAGACAAGCTCCTGGTCCTGGTCGCGCTGAGTTTTAGTTTTTGGACCCTGCGATCCTTCAAGAGAGTAGGTATGATTAGGTAGCCGCGGTCTGCCTTAACCCACCCTGGTCGATGGACGGCAACTGAGACTAGGACTCTGAAGGCAGCAGAATTAAAATTGATGACGCCCTTTCTTCCCGTGTTCCTTCGTTTCTTCGTAGTCCCCTCCGTCTCTCTCGGTTTTGCCGCTCGAGAGGCGTGTGTTCCTGTCTCACACAATCCCGCCCAGAGGCGTACAACAGTGACCATGCATTCCCTGGCTTTTATCAAAGCCTGCGTCCTGACGGCAGCGGCGGCTTTCGCGTCTACGGCGATTGCTGAATCAACCTGGATCAGGCCAGATGCAAGTGGCGACTCCAACTTTAGGGGTTGGTTCATCCAAGGCGTTACCAGTAAGTCGCCACTTCGAGACTATCACGAGCTTCCTGGACAGGACTGACGCTGCACTTCCACGATGAACAGCGAGTCCGAAGTGGTGCGCAAACGGGCAGTTTAGAACAACGTCCGCGGGCTACGCGGGCTGTTGTACGGATACGAAGTGTCCCCTGCCTACGGACTGCCGTAGTAATGTCATTACTTGGGATGGAGGGAGCACGCAGGACTGCAACGCCGGGGCGACCTGTTGGACGATGTCGGTCTACGCAACACCACCCGCGGATGGGGCGTTCAACAGAGACATCTGGTGTGCTGGCGCCAACACGGAGACGGAGTTGTTTCTGTCGATAGCAGCAACAGCTACCTCTTCGTCTTCTACCGGTTCGTGGAAACCCAACTCTTGCCAGCAAGTAGCACCGTGTTAACTTTTAGACGAAATAGGCCAAGCAACTTCCACTTCCACCAGCGCGAGCACTCCGACGAACACCTCCGCGGGCTCTGATTCGGGTTCAGGTTCAGGCTCGAGTAGCAAGGCATGGATAGCCGGCGTCGTCGTTGGCCCGCTCGTGGGAATTGCGCTTGGAATACTGGTTTTCTTCATGTTGAGAAGGAGATGGAAGAAGAAGCATGCTGCTGCGGCCGCTCCAGAGGGCCAGGAGCCCGCTGCTGCCGGCCATGGAATGCAGCAAGACTGGTCCAAACAGACACCTCCCGGCTACACCCAACAGCAATGGCAGGCTAGCCCACAACCTCCTCCATCGGAGATGGAAACAAATCAGTGGGCTGGAGGTCCCAGGGAGATGGACTCGGGATACCCTGCGGCTGAGTTGGATGGGGGATATGTGGCAAGGAACTGATGGCTTCTGCTAACAGTCTGAATTGCTTCTCAGAGGCACGTTATTGACAGTGTGCTAGGCAGGAGATCCAAGGTAGCTTATCGAAACATAACTGATGAACCACTCTGCCACGAGAAAATACGTTATACTTATGTCGACCCAGGAATTAACTTCTTCATCGTCAGCCATTGTTGCGATTTGCTGACGGTAGGAGATGCATCAAGTCTACGACTTAGTAACCTGAAAGTAGAGCTAAGCGCGACTACAAGATCCTCCCAAAGAACGTTATTGAAAAGAAAAGCGACCTTTTCTGAACTTTCGCGCTTATGACATTCACATACACAAAGATTCAAGGAATTCAGATTGAGAATTAAAACAAGAATCATGAAACAGTAGATACGACGACGACAGTAGACGACGAAAACGACGACAATAATGAACGATAGCAACAGCAGTAGACGACAGCAACAACGACAGTGAAGCTGACAACAGTAGAGATGACGATAGTAGAGACGACGATAGTAGAGACGACGATAGTAGAGACGACGATAGTAGAGACGACGATAGTAGAGACGACGATAGTAGAGACGACGATGGTAGAGATGACGATAGTAGACGAGGGTGACAGCAGACGAAGACGACAGCAGACGAAGACGACAGCAGACGAAGACGACAGTGGACAAGGACGACAGTGGACGACAACGGCGACAGTATAGATAATAACAGTAGAGACAACAACGATACTTAGCGGTCCAACCTTGCCTCCATAAGGTATTATTCAACTATCTGGTATAAGGACAGTCTGCTTTTCTGGCAGATAGATAGATATACAATACCGTCGCGCCCAATAACACACGCGAACACAAACTTTAAATACTGTGATAAATTATATATGCAAAACCGCGAGTAGGTATTCCCGATGCCAAAGCCAAACGAACCACGCTATGCAGCCCACCACTGTGTCTACGATCCCCTTGTGATGTTGGGACCAGTTCCGATACCGGTCAACGTCCTGACAAACCAGTGTGCCCAGCTTTCCGTTTCGAGGCTTTTCTTGAGCTCCTCGGCTCGCTTCTCAACGTCCTCAACCTGTCTCTCAAACAACCTGACGCCGTCTTCGACGTCGTCGACCTTGCTTACGAGACCGTTAACCTCGTATTCTAGTCGCGCAACCAATACCTCCACCTCCTTAATGGCTTCAGTGATGTGTGCTCGCTCTTCGGCGATGAGCTCCGAAGAGCTTTGCTTAACCCGTTGGTAAGCCTCGCTGAGCTGGTAGTAGAGGGTCTGAAGGTCTTCCTGTTCGTGAGCGTAGTGCTCGTCCATCCCTTCAACAGCCTTAACCTTGGACTCCACCCAGGGGTTGACGTCTCGTTTGATAGTTGCGATAGAATCGTAAAGGCTGCGGGCAAACTCAGCTAGACTGGCTTGCTGTTGCAGAGCATCGGCTGTAGCAAAGTGCTTGTCGTCGTAGACCTCGGTGATCTCCTCCCATCGTAGAACGGCTTCCTCTGCTTCACCAAAGGACAGCCTACGAGGCCACCGAGCTTCGTTGAGGGGGTGTTTATAGGAGAGCCTAGAAACTGCGATAGAATGACGCCGCTGCAGAAAGCCCACAGCATTGTTATCACCCCGCTCCGCCTCGAAAGGTCCATGAAGGTCCGCTTCATCAACCACTGAACCAGCCACAGATGCTTGAATCTTCTCAGGCTCCTCTTTGGCGGGTCCGTTTGGAGGTGTTGCGTATGCACCTTCCACACGTGTTGAGCTGGGCTCAGAAGCTTCGCGGATCTGCTTCACCTCCGGGGACTTGGGCAGCTCCGGGGACCTGACTAGCTCCTGCGACGATTCCGGAATTGCCTGCGCTGCGTCTGCCTCCTTCTTGAACTGTGCCAGGTACTCTTCTGGTTTGTTCTTCCAAGTGAAGGCTCTACCAACCACGACGGGAGATGACAAGGCTGCTGCAGATGTGTGCGCCAGTGCTGAGATAGGGGCGCTGTTGCTGTAGCCATTCTCACCGAAATCGTCTCTGCTAGGACGACTTGCATGACCTCTCAAACCCGTCCCGACGACGTCTTTAATGCGCCCAAGCCCAGACTTGGCATCGCTGACTCTGCCAGCAACCGACTTGAAGACCGTTTTCCTAAGGGCGTCTTTATCTCCGGGTGCGTCGACCACACTAACGGCTGAGGCAGGCGCTGGAGCTGAGTAGACACCGGAAGATTCCTCTCTGTGCTTCTGAATTTCTTCTTCGAGAGGCATTGATTGTGTTCGCTTGCCTGCTTGCGCAGCTAGCTCGTCTTTCCCAAATAGCGGAGCACCAATGTCCGATGACTTTTCCTGGAGTTCAGGAACCGTCTTTCGGGGTCTGCCGTACCAGAGCCATTTTGCACGCTCACCATAAGCCAAGGCAATGAACTTGTCAATGTCGACGGTCTCGATATCAGCAATGCCAGCCTTATCTTTTCCGCCACTAACCATGCCGATGACCAGCTCACCCCTCTTGCCGCCAATTTCACCGACGGCAGACTTGACAGCTTTCTGCACGCCCCAACCTTCGCCAGCGGCTGCTTTCGCAGTGGCGCTATGGAGCTTCAGAATAGTCGGACGATCCAGTCGTCTCGTCCGCTCGAGCTTGTTTGATTTTTGGAAATAAGCAATCCCCCGCTTAGTGCTTTCAATGTCAAAGACATCTTTGGATACTGGAGCACCGTAGTAGTGTAGACGATTTCTGGCACCCATTAGCATGCCCAGCAGGGCCGCTACCGTTGTTGGTCCTAGGATGCCATCTGTCGGCTCGACGTTGTACGATTCTGCGCCGAGCTCCGTCCACCAGTTTCCGATGGACTCCTCCGTCTTGTCGCATAGTAATCCATCGATATATTCGTTATCCAACTTCCCAAACATGAACAAGGAAACCTGGCACAGCTTGACGAGTTCTATGACTGACTGTGGAAAGGGGACCTTCTCGCTGGTTTTGTAGAGCTGGTAGAATTTGGCTTGAGTCGGGGGTATGGGGTCCGCAAGAGTCATGCCAGATCGACCGGAACATCCCAGTCGCTTGAGGTTCTCGTTGACGATGAAGGCCTGGCGGTGGGTGCGAATGTCGCCCTCCGGCACGGGTATGACTGTCAGGGCCGAGGGAAAACTGCTCAGGTTGGTGACCATAACATCGCCCAGCGGTGTTTCCTTGGGTCGGGCGTGGTATTGGTGGATGGCCCTGAAGTAGAATCGCAGTCGATCCGACCAAGTGCTCTCGTCCGCGGGGACGGCCAGCACCCCGACCACGACGGAATGCTTTGGGTCGCCCGTGTAGGTAAGAATCACTAGAGTAGGAGACTTGCGCGAGCATGCCCATTGTTCCACCAGATATAGTTCGTAGCCTTGCAAGACGCCTCGTCGCTCGATAACGGTCACCGCTGGATCACTCTCAAGGTACCTGCAGAACTGTCAGAGATTCAAACTCCCTACACTCGCGCTTCACGAAAACCTCAGAAAATCTCACCTGAAGGCTACAGGATCGGCAAAGACCCATTTCTTCTTGGCCGCCGGTAAGGGAGATGGTGTCGTGGACTCGACAGAGGGCTCCTTTCGCGCCTCCAGAGGCAGGGGTGTGTCCAGGGGAGAAGGGCCTTTGCTCCGTTGCTGTTGCTGTTGCTGAGACGCAACCCTCGCCAGTGTCAGATCCTCCTCACGATGCATTCGCGGGTCGTTGACCGGGAAGGGGAATCGGAACGCCATCTCCATAGATGGGAGCGCAGCATCGACGACACTAAAGCGCCCAGCAGCTCTACCTCCACGCGGTCGCAGTCGAGATCATAGTCGCCTCAGATCGTTCGGTCGGGTTCGCAGACTGTCGTAGATGCAGAAAAAGGCGCAGAGAATTGAATGCCGCCCTGCATGTGACTTGCGCGTCTCTTTTGGTCGTTCTATATCGTTTCCTTCTGGTTCGGAAAGCGGTCGGCATGTGACGCAATGTAGGTGGGTGCTGCTGTCGTGGATTGGTTGGGCCGCTGCAGGAGCTGTACCACGGGCTGCTTCAGCGAATGGATAACGGGCAAAAAAAGGGTGGCAGCGGTCAACGCTAATGTTCCAAGGTAAGGTAAGGTCCCCGTCTCTCCGCGATGGCCCAAAGATCTACCTTACCAGCCGCAGCGCGACAGCAGCAGCTACCCCGGCTCCCCTGCCCGTAATTATGCGCCCCCTCCTCGCCCACACCTGCCCGACTTTGTGCTGGACTTAACTGCCACCCGGGCCGCCCATTTCGCCGCCGCGGCAACTCAATGCACTCTGGGCGGGCAGTCGCAGCACTGTATCACCTGTGGGCCTGCGCACTTGACCACCCGTGGACCTCCCCCGGCAACTCTGGCCACTGATTCAGCTACCGAGCACGCTACCTGTTGACGGTGACAGCCGTGTAGAACTCCATCCTGGACAACCATTCGGCGGGACCAGCAACATTCACCCTACCGGCTCAACGACTGCCGTCATTCTCTCGGAGATCCGATAGACATCACCGCTTCGTTGACGACCGGAGCTTCGATCGAATCTCCCGCTACCATGACCAACCCGTCGTAACTTCCATTACTTGAGCCCGCCGCAGCATCCACTACGCCATCTACACCACCAATCCCACTTATCACCACATACGAGCCACCCCGAAGACCGCCCCCAGCATGGCGGAACAGAACCCCATGATGACGCTCCAGGCGGAGCTCTCCCGCTTTCGCAAAGCGACTCTCAACTCGGCTGTCAAGGACGCCGACAAGCTCCTCGACATGCTCGTCCAGGCGCGCGAGCAGATTGCCAATGGTACGTTCGCCGTCCCAGGACGGAGCCCCCGCCATCGCCCGGAGTCGTATGCTCACATTTCCTGCTCCTCGTGCTACAGCTTCCGATCCGCACCGCGCAAGCTTGACCATGACGAAGTTGCAAAACCCCGTCAACGCTGGCTTTGATGCCATAAACAATGACCTGAAAGACGTTTCGAAAGCGCAAAAGGTCTTTGGGAAGGCCCTCGACAAGGTGCGTCTCACGAGCCCGCCAATCATGGGACGAACATCAACTAACACCAGCTACACAGTCATTCCCCCTGCGACCTCTCCCGACAGACTACGATGCGATGGCTTCGTATCCTTCGTTAATAAATCGTGCAGTTGCCATGCACATGCTGCGCGAGGGCCAGTTTAGCGTTGCTTCAACCTTCCTCCGTGAAGCGCATGAGCGCCCTCCCCCGCGCGCCGCCTCCCCCAACGGCAACTCGCCAAACGACCTCGAGGCCGACATACACTCTCTTCAATCTCAGGAGCTGCAAGACAAGTTCGCAAACATGTACAGCATCCTCCATGAGCTCAAGAACCGCAACCTGGTGCCCGCCATCGAGTGGGCCCAGCTGAACGGTTACGACCTTGAGGCCCGTGGCTCCAACCTCGAGTTCGAGCTGAGCAAGCTGCAGTTCGTCTGGCTCTTCAAGGGCCCAGAAATAAACGGCCTCCCTGACGACCCTCCCGGCTCGAATGGCCGCGCAGGGGCTTTGGCCTATGCCCAAGCCAACTTTGGACGCTTTCAGTCGCGGCATCTGAAGGAGATTCAACAGCTGTCGTGCGCCATGGTGTACGCCTCTAATATTGGTCAGTCCCCTTACGCCAACATCTTCGAGACCTCGGCTGCGTTCGACGACGTCGCTCTGTCCTTTACACGGGAGTTCTGCTCCCTGCTGGGGCTGTCGGCTGAGTCCCCGCTCTATGTGGCTGCGACTGCTGGTGCGATTGCCCTCCCGCAGCTCATCAAGTACACGACCTACATGAAGGCCAAGAGGACGGAGTGGACAACAGAGAACGAGCTTGCCTTTGAGACGCCGTTGCCACGCAGCATGATCTACCATCCCATCTTTGTCTGCCCTGTCAGCAAGGAGCAGACGACGGAGCAGAACCCGCCAATGATGCTGCCCTGCGGCCACGTTATTTGCAAGGAGTCACTGCAGCGTCTCACAAAAGGGTCACGGTTCAAATGTCCGTACTGCCCCAACGAAGGTCACATCAAGGATGCCAGAGAGATCAAGCTCTGATAGAGAGAAGAGACACCCACATCGGTTGGGACATGTCATTCGGTTGAGATACAATTCCTCTTTGCCCAAGCGGGGAAGTGTAGAGTACATTATTGATACAGGTAAACATTACAAACAGGGTGGGGCGGTGAATATGTGCGACTTGGAGGAGTCTGGGACCACAAAGGCGTCTAGGAAGAGGGGAAATTTTGGTGTTCAGGGGTTGGCGTTTTCTTTTTCACTTTGATGACTGGGTTGTCGGGGTTGGGAAGCGTCTTTTAGTTTCTTGGAAATGAGATACAATCAAATAAGCCACTTCACACAAATGCGTCTCAGGCTTTTGGTTGATTCTGTTTGCGAGTGAGCTGATCGAATGCTGAGACCTTGAAAGGCATACGACAACAACTCGGGATACACGACCACCCGTTTTCTTGGTTTTCCTTCTTTGCCAGGGCGTCTTGGGGTGTTGAGTTCCGCCTGGGCCGTTGAAATGAATCGAATATCCTCGAGGGAGCCATGAGATTGGAACATGCTGCTCATCAAAACTACTTCACCTCATATATGGAAATGCATTTTATGGACACATTGTTTCATCAACGTTCTGAATTATCTCATGCTAGATAGGTTACAGCAAGGAAAGGTGAAAGCAAATCGCTGTCTAAACCCAGAGGCGGCCTCGACGCTGTGAAGAGCCAGTGGTCCATGTGGGCGCAGTCGGAGGCGCCGGTCCCAAAGGTCATCGTGGTATCCTGGGTTACAAGTCCGTCGCCAGTGCGACCAAAGTAGAATCAATCCGTAAACTCCGCTCCCAGTCTTCGTCCCCCACAGTTTGGGTGGCGGGAGCGAGCATCGTCAACGCCGTACAATGTGCACAAACAAGGAGAAATAAAAAAAGCCGATGATGGGGAATCTCAACCAGTCCAACACGCTACCGGCCCGCGTGTCACCGTTCCGTCCGTCCACGATCCCTTCCTGGGCTTCAAGTCTTTTTTGGATAAGAAAGGTGGCATTGTTCGTAAGTCATGTCTTTGTACAATCGCGCGGCGTCTCTTTTCAATCGTTCGGTGCCTCGGTTTCATCGGGTCAAGCCAGCTCCACCCTTCTTAGTCGATCGTCATTCGGCTCGCGACAGAGGGCTTTACATCTTGAAGGTTGATGGAGTTCAAGTCCGGATTCTTTTCAAGATCCTTGGAAGGCTTGCGCAGATGAGTCTTCAGACCGGCGTTGAAGTTGCGCATGCAGACAACGCAGTTGACAATTGTGCAAATGATTAGGAGAATGGTGATGACAGTGAAGGCGGTAAGAGACTTTCTGACCGGTTGATACTGGTCGCGAGTCGCGGGTTGGTAAATGCGGACGAGCTTGAAAATGAAGTAGCTGAGCGCGCCGAAGTAGAGGACGAGAACACAGATCATGCCAATCTTGTTCTCGATTCTGGTGAACCAAGCCGCCATCAGAAGAATGGCAATCGTGACGGGAATCGCGGCGATGGTCAGGCCAAATTCGGCATCGGTTCTAGCGTTGACGATGACGAGGAATTGAACGGTGAAACCAAGGAAAAAGAAGAAATCGAACTTCAGCAGTGCGATATAAATCTGGATGGGATTAGCAAGGAACGCCGGTGGCAAGTGGCACAAATGAACGTACCTGGTAGTGGAGGAATCGCTTCTTCATTCTGTAGTCGGCTCCTATCGTCTTCAGAATGTCCCAAGCGAAGACCTGGTACAGCTTCCACGCGACGAAGCCCATGGTGATGGTGCCGAATGCAAGGATGCAGGGAATAGCAACAAGATACGGCTTGACGTCAGCCCACATGTCGTCGTTGGGGTTGATGAGCGCGTTGATTCTCTTAAGCTCGTCGACGGCCTCGGCGATCTGGTCCACCTGAATGGCTGTGTATACCATCAAGGCAAGGTTGGCGATGCAAACACCAATGACCTGAATGGTGTTTTTCGCCCTTAGAGCATCCCAAACGATAACCAACTCGTACAAGAATCCGAAAATGAAAAGCGTGAGAAAGGTGGGAATCGTTTTTCTGGGCGAATCTTCCTTGGCGTTGCCGGTCGGCGCATCGTCAGTCAAGCTGGTCTGGAACTTCCAGAAAACATAACTAAATGATTGTCAGCGACATGCGATCACAAACTTCGTGCGGTTAGGCGATTGGCTTACGCCTCAAAGGCCAGGCAGATTATGGCCTGAACGAGAGTGATGCCGAAGAAGATCCTAGGCCATTTGGCACCCATGAAGCCGAAGCCCATGAAGCCCTGGTTTCCGCTGGCGGGACGAGAACCGTTCATTGTGGATGGAGCGAGGCCTTCGCGAAAGGCGTATCCTTGATTATATGATGCTTGGGGTGGGTTGTACTGTTGCTGGTACTGTTGTTGATACTGCTGAGCGTACTGTTGCGCTGCGAGTTCTTGGTCGTAGCCGGCAAAATTCGGGTCACCGCCGAGCAATGAGCGGCGGGAGTCTAGCCTCGTAGCCAGGTCGACGGTATTGGCGACTCCCCGGAAGGAGTCGAGAGTCAGGTGGTTCTTGTGAGGCGGAAGGGGGTCGTCGATTGGGAAGGGAGACGACGACACAACAGGGCGGTCGAGACTGTCGTCGTGTAATGCGATTGACACAACGGCAGGCGGCGCCAGTCGGAGAAGGACGGTCGGGGGTGGGTGAGTGTGTCGGAAAGCGTGAGGGCGACTTCTCTATTCGGGAGTGGCAGTGGTTAAGGGATAAAAGCGAGTGGAGAGCGAGGGAGGACCCCGTCGGAGGAAATTCGACAAACAATAAGCAGGCGCTTCTGGCAAAGAGGAAATAAGAAGAAGGTTAAAAGAAGGGAGGAAGAAAAAGCGACGACGGGAACAGAGAGTTTCGCTCGTGCCTTCTTCTCCTTAACGACGGGATTGTTTTTGGGTTTGAGTGACAGCAAGGGGGCAGCTGTTGTTGAAAAAAATAAAAAAGAGGGAATTGGGAGGGGAGGAGTGGTTGTTGGTACGAAGCTGAAACAGGTTGAGGAGTTTGATCTGTTCAGTACAAAGACGGCCCAGGGCCCTTTTTCGCTGTCTCCGGGTTTTGACAGGCAGGAGGAAAGGCTGGGCGTGGTCTGCGGTCTGCGGCTGTGGAGGGAGATGCGAGAGCAGGAGGGGGGAGGGGGGGCGATGTAGGTGAGGTGGTAGTGTAGTAAAAGCAGGAGCCAGCACCCGACTTGCTGCAGCAGCGGCAGGAGGCAGAGTGGCAGGCGCACACACACACACACACACACAGGCAGGCAGGCGCACCTTACTGCACAGTACCACTGACCTGACCTGGGGGTGAGAGGAGGCAGTGACCGGGGTGTGCGCTAGGCGGAAAGAGGGAAACCTAGCAGGGGGGTGGAGACCCAGGAGTGAGCAGGTCGAGGTGTCGCGAGAGACGGGTGGAGCAAGGACCAAGGACGAAGGACCAAAGGGGGGGGGGCCAAGCGACCAAGGACGACGGAGGACGGAAAGGCTGGACAGGGAAGCCCGGGGTTTTGGAGAAGAGGAATTGGGCAATTAGTGGGGTGCAGAGGCCAAGGAACTGCGAAGTGCCCTGGATGAGTTGATTGATGGGGATGCGAAGGGGGCAAAATAAACAAGTTGAATGAAGGAGAGTGTCGAAAGTCGAAAGTCGAAAGTCGAAAGTCGGCGTCGCTCGATGACGGACGGCGGCAGCGATGATATGATGAAGTCAGACGGTAGCGGGATGGTGGTCTCTGGAAAGGTCCAAGGAGCTTTGGGATGGCCTCGATTCGCTGGTGCGGTCGATCAACACCTCATGGGAAGGATTCAGTGTCGTTCTGGGTGAGATGTAAGGCGAAGGCGGGTGGGGCGCTGGATGGTCTGGCCGCGCAGTGCGAGTGCGGCACCCGGTTTGCAAAAAAAACGGCACACCTTAGCAGACCCTACACTTTGGGTGCAGCTTACTCTACTAAATAAAGAGATAAAATAATATAAAAATAATAGAAAATTCTAATGTACTCGAAATAATATGCTCTAAAAGTCTACGAAGTTTCGTTACAGTAAAGTCTCTATTGAGGTATAATAGAAACTATACTTTTAAGGAGTCTGTGTTAGTGTGAGGTGTAGAGTGTGCCGTTTTTTCTGCAAACCGGGTGTGCGGTTTGCGTCGTCTGGTCTTGGGGAGTTTCTTGGTATTACGGAGCAGAGGCGTGTACTCTGTACTGTGTGTCTTGAGGTGCAGGTGCAGGACTCGGCGTCCTCCTTTTCTCGTATTAGTGCGGCGGATCGCGGATGGATCGATGGAGGGATGCGCTGTAGGGCGGCCGCGATTGTCAGAGGTAGGGACGGTAGGGTGTTTGTCGTAGTCGAGTATACCAAGGTATCTGGCAGTAGGTATTTGAACGAATAGTCGTCGACCGGTCGACAGTCGTGTGTTGCAGATCAGATCAGCTGTGTTTGGGTTGTTGATTGATGTTGAAGAAGAGGGGGGGCGAAAAGTAAAGTCATAACCGCATCCAAGACAGCATATGCCCGGTTTATCATGAAATGGATAAAGGAGACGGAGAGGCCTCAAAAAAGCACAGCATAGCAATCCTAGCTCCCCGTTCACCGTCACCGTCATCATAGGCAATAATTAATTACCAGACGCTCCATCGACAATTGTACGTACTTTACTCCGTGCCTGAGCAAGGACTCTCTCAAGTCAACTAGTGCCGGCAATGCACAGCACAGCACAGCCAGAACGCCAGTGCACTACCACGGCCATGGACGGCCACGCTCTCCAGTCTCCAGACTTTCAGGCTTTCCCCCCGATCCAATACCACCTCTTCCTTGGACGGTGGATGCTCCTCGCGCCAGTCCTGGAGGCAGATTGGGTGACTGGCAGACCCAAGAGAGGCTGGCTGGTTCTTCTTCCAGGGACAGTAGGGCTGTGCAGCGAACCCGGCTCCAAGGTTGCAGCGTGCAGACGGGACTGCGCCAGGAATAGAGTCCTCGACTCCATCTGACCATAGGACCGACGTCTGCATTCGTGCAAGTACGAAAGTACAATTTGCTAGTGCACGACTGCAATCTCACTCCCACCGCCTGCCGAATGGCTGCCTCCAGAGTGTTGCCTGGTTGCTGGAGACGGCTCATGCAAGTCAGCCTGCAGCGACAGCAGAGACACGCACACGACCCATTCCCATGCTAACATGCACGACTTGTGTTGACAGCACCCGCTAGAAGCCAATTATGGAACCGAACCTTCTCTTCGCTAATTACCTGCTGTAGAATGTCGCTGGATTCTTGCCGTGGTGGTCTTCAAACTTGTTGTGCAGCCAGCCAAAAGCAAGCAAGCAAGCAAGCAAGCAAACAACCTTCTAGTAATAGCAACCCAGCCAACCCTCCCTCCCTCACAGGTAAAGTCTGGAGAAGATGCAAGCAACAACTGCAACATGAGGCTTGTACAGCCACAGGCTTCTTCTTCTTCGTCCTTGACTGGAGGTGCATCAAAGACCCTGACAGGCTGCCCTACCGTACCACTTAACCTCACGGTAATGCACGACCTAAGAAATTTACGCCCACGAGACTGCCCAACCTCGTCGCGGTTCCGGCACGAAATGCCCAGCCGGACGACGCCGTGGCTCCCGAGCTGATAGGCCCGTCAACGAACCGTCAGAAACATGTCCTCACATTCCATTATGCGACCCAGGAACCGCGTAGAGGGGGCTGAAATACAGGCTGACTTGATCTGACGATCCCCATCTATAAAAATATTCCGTCACATGCAGTAAAGCAGAGATGCTTGAGGCTGGATCACACACTTTCCAACTCGTTCTTTCAGTTTTTTGACTTGTTTTGTTTTGGTCTTGGCTTCTTACCGCACAACTTCAGACCAAAACAACCACCGTCTTCCCCGTTTCCTGCGTCCACAGCACCGCAGAGACAGACACTTTTAGCGTCCGTATCCTTACCAACCCGCAGTCTCCACGGCATACTCCGCCATGGGTTCGGTTCTTCCAACGGGGACCAGAAGAAGCAATATGTCCTCTCCTAAGACCCCGTAAGCGAAGGCAGAGAATACGCGTGTCTGGATACGCTCTCTGCCGTTTCCGTTCGTTTTTCTTCGCCGGAAAGCTCTGGTGAGGTTTGGTGGCTTTTCTTTCCTAGACTGTTTCGATACTTCAGACGAGGCCTCCTCTGCTGTGCTCTACCCTTCCATCGGCTGTCTCTGTCTGAGTGAGTGAGTGCGTGTCTTTGCAATGACATCCAACGGCATACAACCAACCTACGTCAACTTCAAGACCCAACCCGACCCTACCTCCTTCGTCGTCCGTCATGTCATCTCCACGACCCGTCGGCCATGGCACCGTTGCACTCCCTGCATCCATCTCCATCCCCCCCTCCCACCTCGTCAATGCCGTGCCGCGTCTCTCTGCGTGTCCCACGGGCTCCGATCCCACACCATCAACCCAACCCAACCCAACCCATCACCCCCACAGGGAACCCGTCCGTGTGAGCGTGTGTGTGCGCCGCTCCGAGAAATGGGCGATGGTGAAAGCGTGGTTGATGGCGATCGACCCTGTGCAGTGACGACAGATGCAACTTGCAAGGGAGGGCCGCTAAGCCACGCCGTAGAACTCCACCGCGGCACCACGGTTTGAGGCTCAGTCAATTGAACCACCATCCACCGAAGACATTTTGCCAAACACCACCACCAACAGCATCAAACCTTACCGCATTCCAGTGACATTCTCTGCGGGAGAGAGAAAACGGCCACAGCCAGGAATGGAAAAGAAGCGTAACCAACCATCGCAAATCTCCCATTGGTCTTCCCTCACATATCACTGTCTTTCCACCGTGCATATGCCGCTCTCTCATGTCAGAAAACAAGCTCAGTCAATGCTTGCCAGGCTTAGCCGCCGCAACCGAATGTCGTCCTCATCATCCGAAGTATTGAAACGCATCAACCACACACATTCTGTCACTCAACACACCCACCAAAACCCAAAATCAGAAGAAAAAAGTTTGCCCATCTCTTGTCCAGGGACAGCCTCCTCGCACGATCCTGCAGACCCCGTCAATGCTCGTCCGCCCCTTGGTGCCGCTGCCGCCGCCGCCGCCGCCGTCAGCCAGCCCGCCCCCTGTCGCAGATCTAAACGAGCGAGGCCCCAAGCTCTCGGGTTGAAGTGCTCGACAGAGTTGGGATTTGCATCATTTTGCTAGGTAATCTTTCCCTTTCATGCCCAGCCCAACGACAAACCAGATTTACACGCGCGCATATCCGTAGCTAGATGCGCGACAAGCAAGAAAGGCCGGGTAGATCAACCGGCCACCACATGCTCTGCGGGGGCTGTTGGCTGTGGGCTTCAGGTGGTTCTTTTTCTTCCCTTTCCGCCGTTCGTCATTACCGTCCGTGGTCTCACCCACGTACCTTTTTTTATGTCGACGCATATCCGGCGAAGCGGGGAGCGCGGCGCGGATCGGCAAAGAATGGGAAAACAACCAAGGCAAAATCAACAGGTAATCTTGGGCCTGGGTAGAGGAATTTTCGATTTCTATTTTCTGCTACAGTGAAAGCGAAGCAACAAGAGCCCCCCCAAAAAGGGACGTTCTGGACCTGACCGACTTTTGTTGGGCAG